GAGAGAGAGAGAGAGAGAGAGAGAGAGAGAGAGAGAGAGAGAGAGAGAGAGAGAGAGAGAGTTCTGTGGCTGATGGTCATGTGGGGTGCTCATTCTCGGCATAGGGTGGTGCGCACCTGTAAGTGGGGTTAAGGCGGATTAGCCCTCAGCGGACGACTATGCAGGCTGTCGACGGTTTCTCTCTGATTAGTCGGTGCAAAGTCCGATAAGGCAGTCTGTTTGCCGCCATTTAACCTTTTTCGTGTTTGTAACGAGCGTGTATTGTCAGTGGATTTCCAGCCGTCTAATGGTGGAATTGTAGCATTGGGAAAGGATTTCGGCAGGGTGTATGAATGTGACAATGCACGCCTTCTGTACCTGTGAGGGGTTCCATAATCCGGAATTCCAAGACTACTTTCGTACGATTTTTTTAGGAGTGCTCGAGCTTGTGGTTAACCTTGCACCTTACATCTCTAGCCTCTTGATTTTGCCTTTCATTTCTTCGTTGCCCGTCTTCGCGTTGCCCGCCTCCTTTTACCTCTTTCTTGGTCAAGGCGCTGTCACGTAATGGGAGAGAGAGAGAGAGAGAGAGAGAGAGAGAGAGAGAGAGAGAGAGAGAGAGAGAGAGAGAGAGAGAGAGAGAGGAGGTTTTGTCTGGTGCTTAGGGCTGCGATACTGACTGGGTATTTACAGTAGTTATGGGTTGGATGGATATATTGAAGGTGACCCTCTTAAGGAAGAAGGGAATCTGTGAAGCCTAAATTACGGGCGGGTGAGGCCTAAATTAAAGGTTCGAGAGGACTTGCATGCTGCGGGCCGGTGAGGCCTAAATTGCAGAGCACTAAGAATTTTTTTGATTCGTTTGTTCCTTGCCGCAAGCATAACTGGTGTGCTATTACAGAAATCGTGATGCGGGGTTTGTTGATGTGCTTTTCGCATTCCCGGACTATGTGTTCTCTCCTTGCCCGGGTGGTTGAGAGATTCAGAATTGTTCGTTAGATAAAAGTACTCGATTTCCCGATCAGCATAGATCGGTTAATCAATTAGTCGTCCTTCGCGTAAAGCGCGTGGGCAATAGTTGTGTCCTGAACGTTCGGGCTTGGCTTGTATGCAGTCTTGGGGTCGTTGGTGGGTATCCGGCGTGGAACAGGGTAGGGGACCGATCAGCCCTGCGATTGTCGCTACATCAAGTGCTTGTAATGCTTGAGGCCGTTGCTGGGTATTCGGCGTGGGACAGGGCGGCGGATCGATCCGCCATGTGATTGTCGTTCCATTCCGTAAATCTCGAGTGCTTGTAATGTTATGCATAGGTTGGTCTAGTATCCAAAATTATAAGAAGAGTGCACGATAACTTTTCTTAGTTCTGGTCGAAATTTCTCTCTCTCTCTCTCTCTCTCTTTCTCTCTTTATCCATCTTTCTCTCTCCCTTTCTCTGACTTTGAGGAGATGGGATGGTAGTATCTGGATTTGCCATGACACCGCTCTGGATGATCTTTTGATTCGATCAATACATCGATTGTTTGCTGTGAGAAGGCTAGAACGCGCGGGCGATCGGTGAGATGATCGTTTCTTTATTTTTTTATTTATATAATTGGGGCCCAGTGCCCGATCGGTGAGATGATCGTAGCTTGCTGGGCTGTCGTTGTTTGACAGAGTACTACCGGGTTTTACTGACTCGAGGGACACTCTGTGGTGGCTGTCGCAAGATGTGAACTCGATGAGCTGTCTGACTGAGTGCTTGATTGGGGTTCTTGATGGGAATACTTGTTTCGGTGATTGCGGGTCGGAGCTCTTGATGGAGTGCTTGGAGTGAGTGATTGCCAGCGTGAGGTGGTTGGTGATGTAGTGATTGATTTCGATGGGGGGATTGATGAAAGTGTATAGCAAGTGGGGTGATTGGTGAGCGTGTATAGCACGTGTGTGAGGTTGTCTGATTGGTTCAGCGACGATGATCAACGACGGTTGAAGGGCCTGGGGCTTGATTGGATGAGGTGGTTGATGGATTGATGGAACGACGAGTTTTCGATTGATCAGCACTGTGTTTAAAGGGAAAGTGTTTAGCGGCGTTTGGCAGGATGCTTTTCATGATGGGGTCGATAACTTGTCGACTATCAGCATGTAGCGACTGTCTAGACTGGCGCGTGTGTTTTTTGGGGGGGATCGGTTAGGTGGTGGTGTTGGGTGCTTACTGGAAGTTTGATTGATGTAGGAGTGCAGTGCAAATCTCAATTGAAGGATCAAAGATCGAAGCTCCTGTCTCTTATACACATCTAGATGTGTATAAGAGACAGGCGTTTCGATCTTTGATCCTTCAATTGAGATTTGCACTGCACTCCTACATCAATCAAACTTCCAGTAAGCACCCAACACCACCACCTAACCGATCCCCCCCAAAAAACACACGCGCCAGTCTAGACAGTCGCTACATGCTGATAGTCGACAAGTTATCGACAGGGCTTCCCCACAGTAAGCACCCAACACCACCACGTATACCTGTCGAATCTGGACAGGGCGGCCTTTCAGGCCTTTGTTATTGTCATATTAGAGTATTACGGGGGAATTCCCCCGTAGCAGCCACGTCCGTGCTCAAGCCTCCAGCGAGGGGACAAGCGGGAGCTGCACCCAGCAGCAGGTGCGATACCGGCGACAGCAGGTGGGCGATACCGGCCAGGGGTCAGCCAGCTGGTAGCATCAGGACCGAGCTTCTTCGATGGGCCAGTCACTGTGCCTCCCCTCAGGTGGTGGTCCCCTCCCCCTATGAACATCAGCAGTCTTTGCTCATTGCCACTCGGGACTCGGGGGGACCAGGGAGGACACATCTCTAGGTGGCGGGCGCCAAGCTTGCCCAGGAAGGTACATGAGGCCAATGGGGATTGAACCCAAGACCTCCTGAATGCCCCACTTGCGTGCCTTACCAACTCTGAGCTAGGCCGCTGGATTCTACGCGTCTTCCGAGTGGGGACCACCACTCCACTCCTCTACCAGTCTTTCGAGTGGAGGGGGAGCATGTAATGGGCGTATGTTATTGATTGTCTTCTTAATGTTTTGATGGCAGTGCTACGTTTTTTTTTTTTTTTTTTTTTTTGTTTAAGGAAGACGGCCTTGAGATATCATCGTTGAACTGACCGTCGCCAGGTAATTCATAATTATTTTATTGCGGTCATCTGGTGGCATCCGGATTCGAACTGAGCTAGGGGATCTCTGTATTTCAACTGGCACCAACTGAGCTAGGCCCATTGGCAGTGCTACGGTGTTTTAGTGCCTGTCCATGGCTAATTATCTTCTGGCAGGACGGACTGGGGTTCGCCCGTGTTCTCCCTCTCTGGATGGTATTCTTACTTGTCAAGTCGAGATGCAGACGTGTTGCAGGCAGTAGGCTTTCTGTTTCTGTTTTGCGAGGTTCGATGATCTGGAGTCTGTGTCTGAAAGTGGAGGTGCAGGTATGTGCAGTTTGTGTGGGAGGTATGCTTGAGTGATGAAGAGGCAGATGAACGTGTTGGAGGTAAGTGCGGGCGAAGTAATTACGCCGTGGTCTGCACTTCGGTGGCGTATTTCTGTGGAACTACTGCTTTCTTCAACCGACCACAACGCCAGGTCAGTATAGCTGTATGTAGTGCAGTTTTTACGCCAGGTACGGAGATATTTCGGGGGAAGAAGGATAGCACACTCGAGCATAGGAAGAGGGTACACATATACATAGCCGATTGAGCAAGGGTTTAAAAGATGTGTGCTTGATAGACAAATCGAAGGACAGCACGAAGATCTGTGGTGGAGGGAGAATGCAAAAGGACAGCACATCCTGTTACGGACAGTCGATTTGATGAGAAATAAGAACGTGTTTGTTTGTGTGTGGGAGACAAGATGGCTACGTTTGATCTCCGTGAGGATGCAGCGAATAGCACGAACGGGCAATTCTCAGTGAGGGCAGGCAAGTGACGACGTGTACAAGGCGAGGAGCATCTTCTTAACGTGAAGGGTTTTTGTGTTATTGTTCGCCCCGTCGGCTGTTTGTGCACCGGGAGTGAATCTGTTTAGCGATGATGAACAGTTTCGCCTTTCATGTGTGTCCACCAAGGAAAAGTCTTCCAAACCCCACTCACGCCGGCATCGCATGGATCGTTTTTCCACGTCAGGTCCACGTAGATAAGTAGATCGATACGTGGGTAGTTTTACGGATCGATACCGGGTTTGGCTGATCGATAGCGGGTTGGGTATATCATTCGATGGATAGGTGGTTAGATCGATAAGTGGATCGATCGATCGATCGATCAGTGGGTCGATCGATCGATCAATAGACGTATCGATCGATCAATAGACGTATCAATAAGTGGATAGATCGACTACTGGTCGATCGATCGATCGATCAGTCGATAGCTGTGTAGGTCGATCGATCGGTAGGTGCCTAGACCAAACGATCGATCGGTTGATCAATAGACGGATTGAGAGATGGCTAGATTGACCAATGTATCGATGGCTTGAACGCGCGCGCGCGCGTGTATGTGTGTGTGTGTGTGTATGTGAGAGAGAGAGAGAGAGATAGAGTGAGAGGATGTGATTGTGATCATGTTGAAGAAGTAATCGTTGTCGGTGAACTGGTTGGATTCGATTTGGTTGATAGATATTTTCTCGTATCGAGGTCCACATCGGCGTTTTTGAAATTGCCGGATTTCTCTCCAATGATCCCCAAGCAGATTTTTTCTCTCGCCTCTCTCTCCTTGACTTATCTGTATGTCATCCCTCTTTTTCTATCAGCTGCGTATGTCATCATCCCTCTTTGTCTATCAGCTGTGTATGTCATCCCTCCTTTTCTATCAGCTGCGTATGTCATCCCTCTTTTTCTATCAGCTGCGTATGTCATCCCTCTTTCTATCAGCTGCGTATGTCATCATCCCTCTTTTTCTATCAGCTGCGTATGTCATCATCCCTCTTTCTATCAGCTGATCCGGTGTCGCCACATCGGCGTTTTGAAATTGCTGGACGGCGAGGAACCGACTCTTACTCTCGAAGAACAATAATGCCCATGCCTGTCCTTGGATCACTGTTCCAGAAGAAGAATATGTCATCCATTTCTGATGGATGAAATTTCCTTCCATGTTGTGTTGCCATGTTAATTGCCAACGCGTCCATGAAATTTCCTTTCATGATGGATGAAATTTCCATTCATGCACGTTACTGAAACAACTCTTGATGTTCAGATTGAGAGTCGTCGTTCGATTTGATGTAAGATCGTCGGCCGTTTCTGATGGATGAAATTTCTGTCTGATTCTCAGATTGAGTGAACTCGTCGTCGATCTGATGCCCTCCCTTGTCTAGCATTTCCAGGTGGGGGGGAGTAAATCCCTATGGTAAAACCATTTCTTGGCCTGTGCATCCACTCGTTTTTCCCCCTTTTTTTTTTCTTTTTTTTTTTTTTGCGGCCGGCTCAGATTCAATCATCCGATCTTCCTATTGGAAGTGCCGACGTTCCAATTGTGGAATGAGGTCGATGATTTGATGCCCTCCCTCGTCTACCCCTTTTTTTGAGTACCAATCGTGGTACCCCTTTTTTTGAGTACGAATTGTGGTACCCCTTTTTTTGAGTACCAATTGTGGTACCCCTTTTTTTGAGTACCATCATGTAAGGGAGCTTGATGTAGTGATCTTGAGAAGCAGAGGGTTGAGATGTGAGTGAGGTCGACATGGATTGAGGTGGACTAGCGAACGAAGTTCAGGTCTGAGATGATTTAACTGGATATATGTTCCCGTCGCTGATGGAAGGAAGGAGGCTAGGTTTCCTCCAAGCCTTCTTCTTCTCTACTCGGTCGTACGTCGTTTCTCCGTCTTCCGTCTTCCGTAGCTGATCGAAGGAAGGATGCTGGTTTGAACGCGTGGCACCTTTCTTTACGCTGTTGGATGGTGGACATACATAGCTGTTGCTTTCTCAATGTATGGGGCTGCTTTCTTTAGGGTTTTTTTAACTATCGCAGATGGACTAGTCGCGCCATGATGGATTGTACAGTGGAGATCATTATAGACCAAGAAGAAAAGTGAACGAGAGTCTGTGGCACTAGTGTCAACTGTAGATCATCACTCTTTTCTTTGCGCCCTGCGTGTCTCCTGCACAGTCTATGGTACTTCGCTGTTTCTTCCAAAGGGGAACCTTTGCAGTATGGCTACTAGGATGGATGCTCTTAGTGAAGACAAGATGTTGCAGGGGACCCTTGGCAGTATGGCTTCTCTTGGATGGATGGTCCTAGGGAAGAGAAGATGTTGCACTGTGCGTTTTCAGGTAGGAATGGATGTCCTGTTCGTCAATGGGAAACAGGCTCAGTCGGTTGTGGGTTGGACTTTTTATTCGGTAATAAAGTTTCCGTCATCTCTTATCTGGCTCGAAAGTCGCTGCTGTTTGGGTGGAATTGGCATCCTTATCTGGCTGGTATGGGGGTAGGTTCGTCTATCAGCAGGGGTTGCTGCGGTTGTGGGTTGGATTTTTTATTTCGATAATTTGGGTCATCCTAGGTGCCTGCTGTTTGGGAATTGGCATCCATTTCTGGCTCGAAGTTCCTGGTATTGTCTTGTAGAGTGGGTGGTCCTGTGGTTGGTCCGGTAGTTAGTCTCTGGTCCAGAAGTTTGGACCTCTCACAGAGGAGGGACGGAGTGCATGGTGCCATGGCTCACACGTTGTGGTGCTATGGTTGGTACTGACGCAGGTCCAGAGGTACCTTGCTCCACCTCTTCCCGACCGCACTTGGGTGAGTGTGTGATGGGTGCATCTTGCTCAGCCCTCGCTTGCTTCCCTGTGTGTTTACATCTAGGAAAGCATGGCGCTAATTATGATTTTCACTTGTTAAAAGCTATAAATAGATGAGATCACGGGAGGGGGGTGGATGGGAGGTGTGTGTTTACATCTGGATGGGAGGTGTGTGTTTATGATTTTCACTTGTTAAAAGCTATAAATAGATGAGATCACGGGAGGGGGGTGGATGGGAGGTGTGTGTTTACATCTAGGAAAGTATGGCGCTAATTATGATTTTCACTTGTTAAAAGCTATAAATAGATGAGATCATGGGAGGGGGTGGGTGGGAGGTGTGTGTTTACATCCAGGAAAGCATGGCGCTAATTATGATTTTCACTTGTTAAAAGCTATAAATAGATGAGATCATGGGAGGGGGTGGGTGGGAGGTGTGTGTTTACATCCAGGAAAGCATGGCGCTAATTATGATTTTCACTTAAAAGCTATAAATAGATGAGGGGGGGGGGGGGGGGGGGGGGGGGGGGGTAGTGGCGGGGTAGCGGTTGGGAGGGGAGTGCACTCAACGAACAAAGATCGAGTTGAAGTTGAAATGAGTTCCGCGGGGATGGGCACCGATACTTTTGTGACGAAGGGAATTCAGTTCAATTCACTCTGCCAGTGCTACGGAAGGTCTTTTGTTGAAATGAATCCACCCACTTTATCCCTTCCCCGGCGGTTCCTGACTCCGAAATGTTTCTAGGGCAATCACCTGGGTCGAATGTTTCCAGTCCGACTCTGGCGCAGGAAATTAGTTGCGTCGCCTTTTTATACCGGGTGTAGTAGTCTGTGAATGTCGTGCCAAGATGAGAGTGCGCAGGTAAGAGAGGCTGCAGAGGCAAGTGTTTTTTTTTTTTTTTTTTTTTTCGGAGAACCGTCGTTCAAAATGGTAAGCATGTTGATGATGATTGAAATTGCTTTTTTTTGTCTTTCTTTGGCGATGATGCAGAACAACCCTGGAAAAAAAAGATTTGGATGGAGGTTGATTATGGTCCCGTCCATGAA